ATGCATATTAATTATAATACATTTCTTATTGTTGTCAATTATGACGGCACGGATACACTAGTTGAATATATAATACATAATATATCATTTCTACCAATTTGCAATTTCTTCCAATTTACAATAACTATTAATTTAAATATCATTGTTCCAATCCCTTGAAACATTACTATCACATCATATCATATAGACCCGTTATTAAATTGAACCACCCTCTCACCCAGTATATTAAACATCACCATATAAATTAAATATAACAATAAGGATTACAAATTTCTACCTGTTACATATACACAGTCACCAAAAAACAAACAAATAACCAGCTTTAAATATAACAAATAAACCCCCATTTTTTTTTAAAATTAAAAATAAATATAAATAATAATAATAATAATTTTTTGATTTATCATAATTTTACATTAAACCCCACCACACGTATATACATACATGCGAGGAAATATTTTTCAGCGAAAAAAAAAAATACATAACATGACATGTATACATTCACGAGACACTAACGTGACATTTTCGCCACACATCCAATGTTTAAATTTCAACATTTCAACATACAAATGCGTATGTATAGACATAACACCACCCGTATACATACATGTGTCATATCCGAAACTGCCCACATATGTTTATATATGTATGAGTCCCGACGGACGACCAAGTATGTATATGTGTCTGCATATATCGATGTTTGCGTTAGTACGATGAATGACAAAACGACGAAATTTCCCCACCACTTCCACAATAACACCAATACACGCAATCTACATAAACCCAAATTTTTTAAAACATTAATCAGTTTGTCTGACGATCGCTAAAGCGTGAAACCCAGGGTCACAAACTCACATCTATCCAACCAAATATATATATATATATATATATGTGTGCAAAATAGATTGAAAAATAGTAAAGAACCGTTAGGTTAATAATCCGAAGTTTTTTACTATTTTTGTTTTTATTTTTAAAAAACAGTGCTCGATACACAAGTAGAGCCTATATTATAATTATTTACTTACCTGGCTTATGTCAGATATATATCCGCCAGACGAGGCTCTGCCCAAAGGTATAGTCTTGTCTATAAACTGACCCGTTTTTTTATGTGGTCTATAATCAAATTTTTTGCCCGAAATACGGGCTCGATATTCCACTTTTAATATTCGGCCTTGAAATGGGGCAGTGAGTCAATAATTATATTATAATTATTTTTAAAAAATATGTTTCATCGCCACATAGGACTTACCATGTTTCAAAAACAGAAGCTAAAAACTTCCAATTCAATTATAGAAATTAAATTAAATTAACGTACCTAGTTCTATTTCATCCTCAAGCGAATTTTGGAATAACTAATTTTGAAATTTACGGGGCTTTATAAGCATATACATTCGTAATATTAGTTTCTATGGATATGCAGAAAACCAATCATTTTAATAAGGGGCGATAGGAAAAAGGATCCAGACGTTCGAGAATAAATGCTTGAGAAAGCTCCTTCGCATCTCCTACTGTGAGCACAAATCCAACGACTGTACGGAGCAAGGACGAAAGTCTCGTGGGTCACTATTAAGCGTCGTAATTAGGATACGTCACACGACCTGACTGACTCTGCAAGGCCATCATAAGGTACTGTTGAAGGTGGTTGCAAACGGGGACGTCGATGCAAGAGTTGGTCAGATAGCGTCAAAGATTGGACAGACATGACAATGTTGGAACTCCTGAGAGCCACCGCCAAGAGAACAGCCTGGAGGAAGTTGTCTATTTATTTTGCCCTCAGGTCCCAACCCCTGATGACTGAACCAGCCGTGAGAGATAATTATGATTATTTGCAATGACATGTTGTCACTTACCAAGTAAAATAAAATTTTGCATAAAATTCCGCAGGCTTTGATGTGAAAAAATTTCGACAAACACTTGAACCTGGTTTTCATTAGAGAAAGTTTCCCCCATTAAAACATTTTCCAGAGATCAAAAACGGTAATAATCGACCGGAAGAACAGACCAACTAAGTTTCAAAATGGTTTCCTGTGTTATTCTTGTTGTACCCGATCTTATGTTATCATGGAGGACTTTCCCGGGTTTTCCTTTTGACGAACGCAGGAAAGCGACAAAAAGTTTATGGACACTGCTGGACGTATAAACGAGCATTTAGTGTTTGATCGAGTTTTAAGAGCTCTAAATGTATAATACTCCGACGATCCAACCACACGCACAACATTACCTTTCATCTATGAAGTTCAGCTTTCGGTGTCGGTTGTGGAAATTTGTCCTTGTCAGTACACAGACTTGAGTTGAACATTGTCGTATATAACCCATTTTTCATCGCCTGTTATGATATATTTAAGGAACCAGAATTACTTGTGACTCAATCTAATATTTGATAGAGAATCCATTTATCTTGATCCCTTTCGGATAAGGATAGGATGAAAGTACTCTAAATATATTCTTAAATGTCACGAAGAAGGGACTACGAATAGAAAGCATTAGGAAGAAAGATACATCCCTACCTTAGAACAGAATGGTCTAGTATGCATTAATTGGCACAGGAACGAACACAGGGCGAAGGCGTGTATGATTTCCATTGTTTTTCTATTAATATTTTCATGGAATTTATTCTAATGAACATTTCTCCTTGTTCTACTAGATTTTCAACTAGGTGTCATAGAACAGATGAATAATAATATAATAATCGTTCGATATAATTATCATATGAACATAGGTGTTCATACTCTTGAAATAGTTCGATGTAACCGTAAGTTCTATTCTAATAGTTTCTTCTATCGCACTTCTCGCCTGCGGAACCCTCTTCCGGTTTCTTGCTTCCCTGGCACCTACAATCTTCAAAAATTCAAATGCAACGTCAATCGCTATTTTGTTCCTGTTCTTTTATTGTCCTTTCTCTTCACTAACGTCTACTCATTCTCATTCACTCCCAGTAACCCCCCCCCTTTACGTCTTAGTGGCTTTATCGCCTTGCTTGGAGGGAAATGGTTACAAAAAACAATTATGGGGCTCAGTAAAGCACAGATTGGGGAAAGCTGAGATGTGGCAAGAGTACAAGGATGGACAATTGGGGGATGAAACACTGCATATACCCAGACAGGAATAGGGGTAAAAAAAGAAAGCCCCACCCTAATTCAATCAAATTTCGTTTAGGCTGCGCCCTATGTCAATGCAAAATTGAATACACCATTTGCAACTGAAAAACTCAATACATTTGCATATTGGTAAGATCTGCTATTCGATTGTAATTGCAAATTTAAAATCGCATATTCATCTGAGAGAATCGTTGTAGAAATTTGAAAGCTGTGTGTGAAAGTGATTTAAAACTAAACTTGGCAAACAAGCAAGCAAGTTCCCCAAAACGCATAAAAATAGACAACAAACAGATATAAGAACCAGCCCTTTAGGCATGGGCTCCCACTTTAAAAATGATTTTGTGTCCTATTCTGTTTGAGTGGGCGTGTGAATAGATATCCTTTGTGATTTGTTCTCTGCCTTCAAAAACAGGCACGTATGGCTGAAAAACCAAACACGTATGGGAGGAGACAACAGGAATAATTTATTATAAAACAGGTTATCGATAACGCCTCGAAATGTTAATATACGGCAACCAATATAATACTTCCTCGATTCCATAGTAGTTGCTATTTTATGGCGATTCGCTTAGTTTGTCAGAAGACATAGAGAAGAGTAATTTTAATGGTAACATTAGACGTTCCCTTATAAGGAAACATTCGAAAATAAAGCAGGACTCAAGTTCGATCCCTGCCAGAGAATTTATTTTTTACGATTTCTCAAATGCGAAGACCGATCGACGCAATACACACTGTTTAAAATAATAATGGGACGTCTATTTCAAATACGGGTGTCCACTATAATAACGTTTGAAGTATACAGCTCAAAAGTTTGAAGCAACCCCTGGTAATTTTTTAAATTGGCCCCAAAAGTAGTTATTTTGTACTTTAAATAATAGACAATTATTATACATGAAAATACAAAAAAGTTAGACATTATTATTTTTTATTAGAAAAATTTTATTATGACAAAAAGAAAAAAAATTATAATTAAATTTTGCTCTCGTCAAAATCTCCTTTTTCAGCCTTGATTACTGCAGTATAAATATTTTGGTATTCGCGGCAAAAGTTTCTCAAAGTATAAGTTTGATAATTGATTCAATTCTTTTTTCAATGACTCTAAGATATTTTTACATATTTTTTTCACTCTTTTGTCAAGTTCATCAAATGCTAATTCCGGGGTTCGCTTCAAACTTTAGAACTGTAGTGTATATATATATGTGTATGTATTAATTTATATATATATATATATATATATATATATATATATATATATATATATAAAGCAGTACTTATTGAAAGGCGCTCAATATCAGTGATAATATATTCAGTGGTATGGATATGAGTTTGTAACCTTCACAAACTCATATCTATACGACTGAATATATATATATATATATATATATATATATATTAGTGGCCAATACATATATGTTTCCAAGAGGATAAAATCAAGGTAGAGCTCAATGTTATAGACAGAGCAAGAATATAATATAAAAAAACCAAAAAAAAAACCGAGAACGTTTTCTTTTTGGATTTGTAGGTCTGATGAATTGGATCGTGATTACGATTCCAATGTAATAAATTATAATCATAGAATATTAGTGCAATTATGTCGAGCGGACGTTCGTTACAGTTTCTGGAAGAGAGAACTCATAATCTGGCGTGATCAATAGTTTCAACGAGGCCAGTACGAAACGCAAACATTGACGGGTTGCTTATAGTTTCATCCACCTCCATTTCTCCCAGGGGCGTGCCTCAAACTGTGTTATTGTTTTCAGACACTTTCCAAAGGTGCAGTACGCTGGAATCGATTTCACAGGCCGACAACACCAAAAGGGCACCTTTCTGACAAATCAACCATGGTGAGTTTCGAAACCAGTTGTAATTGCTGCGAAGAGAACATTCTAACTTGCCGGCCAGTATCTATCTATCTATCTATCTATCTATCTATCTATCTATGTCTATTCTAATCTGTTACTTCTCTCTCTCCCTATCACTATGTCTATTCCTCCCTTCTATCTATCTATCTATCTATCTATCTATCTATTTGTCCTGAGTCTGATAATAAACTACATCCGGCAGCAAGGTATCTGATCGGGTAGTTTCGAGGACCATGGAACCAACTCTTAATTGCTGTCGTACCCAGATCCACCCTGATCCGGGGAGTGGTCCCAGCTATGGGCAAATAGTTAACTCCCGAACTGGGGCCAAAACGCTATGCAAGTATAAAAATACATTTTTATAGTAAAAATACCAGCAAATCATTTCCATAGTCAAAAAATTACAAGCAATAATGTTTTGTAAAAAAAAAACTATTACCAACAAAACTCTTTTGAAAAAATTCAGCAGAAGTGCAATGATACCTCATTTCGAGTAAAGAAAGTCATTTTCGAAGATACGTCGGTTTTTCTTAAATATTATATGGAAAAATAAGACTCGCCTTACGTCGTTTTACTTGAGTTTACGTCGGCCGTTAAAAATATTAGAAACGTCGAAACACTAAAATAACAAAAACACATATAAAATCATATTTAAATAAATGTTAAAATAATATTTAAACAGTGAAATTAATAATAAACGGCCTAATAAGATTTCTTGATCTAGGCCGGTTGTTATTAATTTCTCTGTTTAAGAAGAAAAAAACAAGGATACAAACTCAAACACCATGGACCCACTAAAAATAACGTACAAGTCGACTTTTTGTCCATAAAAAATCTTCCAAGTGTAAAATGTCAACTTTAAATCCCGTAGTTGTTGACAATATCTCGCCTCCTTGTTGCGATGATGCTGAACAAAAACACAACTGGATGTGTGTCTCAACAAGCCGTTTAAAGAAGAATGGGACGAGTGGATGGTTAGCGGGGAAAAGTCATTCAGGCTACCGTAATAGTCTACCGAAAACACAACACCCACTCATGATATATTGTAAATTGTAGTAGTTCATATACAATATCCCCCACTGTTTTTCATTAGAATTTGTGTGAAAAGAATATATATACTTACTGTATTTATTTAATAAATACAACATTTAAAAATACGATTTGGTGAGGTCGTCTTGTGCGGCGAATATAGCCCAAAACATATTTTCACTTGAAAATTTGGGGATCGTCTTATGCGCCCAGTCGCCTTGTATAAATATTTTCCAACTGACATATTTTTGTTTATATACTCACATAACATCATTATTAAGAAAAACTAAAACTTGTCGTATGGAACATTAAATTCTAACTGTAGACATCAGGCAACGCTATGAAAATTTTCTGTAAGTACGTCTGAAAGGTTCTTAAAGTTAATGAGTTTGGTTTCGAAAGATAGGTTCTTACTAAGGAAAATAAACGTTTTTTGCTCTTTGGCGTATATATACTTGTGCATAATTTGACTCAGCCAATAAAAAAGCCAGTAATTATTAGCAAAACAAAGTCAGGGTCGAACTCACTACGAAAGATTCACCGAGCAGTCCCCTGCTTATGGATGAACCACAAATATTCTTTGCGACTATTTCTGTACTTTCACTTTCATTATTCAACTTTTACTTTCGCTTTCGCAGTTTTCGTGTTGATTTCCTTTCCACCATTTATTATACTTTATATTGATTCACCAGCTAACTTAGTAAAACCGCGACTAGTTCATGGACATCTACATCCTTGCAATGTTGACTAGAATATTTTTGGATTAATTATTTATTACTATTCGTAAAATAAAATCTGAAATCAATTTCTGTTCTTGTTTTGTTGCAAAATGGGCTATTTTAAAAAAATATTTTCCTCATTTCAATTTATTAAAGGCTTTAGGTAAATATACTTTTTGTTTTAATTAATCATTTCTTCATGATATTTTGATTGAATGAACATGTTTTGGTGGATACATCGGTAGCGTATCTTTTGAAGGTGTCCGGTTGTAAGTGGAGTGTTTTATGGAAAGCAGAGAAAGTAGTCGTTACATAAATTATTACTTGCATTTACGGGGTGGAGACGAAGCAATTTATTCTATCCCCATTCTCCCGCACTCTCCAAAGTATTCTAATTGGATTTTGCAATGTTGTTGCCTGGAGGGTTTAGATTTTTACTGGAATTTCAAAATTCGTCTATCAAAGTTTTTCAGGACTGTTTCAAACGAACTAACAATGATAACTTTCTTTCTATTTCCATTCTTCTTCAATATTTTCTTTCTTTCTTTCTTTTTCTTTCTTGTTCTTATTCTCTTTTGTATCTTACTCTTTTGTTCTTTCTTTCTTTCTTTCTTTCTTTCTTTCTTATTCTTTGTATCTTACTCTCTTGTTCTTTCTTTCTTTCTCTTTCTTTCTTTCTTTTTCTTTCTTTTTCTTATTCTCTTTTGTATCTTACTCTTTTGTTCTTTCTTTCTCTTTCTTTCTTTCTTTTTCTTTCTTTTTCTTATTCTCTTTTGTATTTTACTCTTTTGTTCTTTCTTTCTTTCTTTCTTCATTTTCTTTCTTGTTCTTATTTTTTGTATCTTTCTTTCTTTCTTTCTTTCTTTCTTTCTTTCTTTCTTGTTCTTATTCTTTGTATCTTACTCTCTTGCTCTTTGTTCTTTCTTTCTTTCTTTCTTTCTTATTCTTCTTTGTATCTTACTCTCTTGTCCTTTCTTCTTTCTTTCTTTCTTTCTTCATTTTCTTTCTTGTTCTTATTTTTTGTATCTTACTCTCTTGTTCTTTCTTTCTGTCTTTCTTTCTTTGTTGCTATTTCTTTTTTTCTGACTGCTGCTATATCACTTAAAACAACACAAAATGAAAACAAAATATAAATGATTGATTTTGTAAAATAAATGTTCAATTCCTCGGATACCTATTCTGTTAATTATGCTTATTTTTATTTGCTCTTTGTACAAATATAATCACACATAAATAAATATTCTGGAATGTGTACAAAGAAATTCTCATCAACCCGTAGAAATGAGTCGCTTTATATCGAATTACAACGTTTATTGAACACTTTTATCACGAAACAGGTTAGTGTTCGGACAAAGGAGACATTATTACCATATTCTTTATTTTCCTGTTTTATTTTTCGGCATGCAACAAGTTGGTGTTGTTTTAGCTCATTCAATCTCTGAGTCATTCTTTTAAGAAACCAGTAAATCAGTAGTCGCTTCGAATTTAATTTTGATACACTAGGGTATCCATATATAAGTCAAATTAATTTTAAAAAAAGAAAAGAAATCAAACCTTGCAATAAACAAATAATGTTACCGTTCCTTTCTATCCGAACCTCTTAGTCCACGTTATTTTGTATGAATAATTTCAAGGAAAAACAAAGGATATATAATACTTATCAACATCAATGCGGATAACTCTGGATATTTCCTGGGTTTATCGCTGCAGGAAATAAAGCAGTGATAAATCCAGGAAATATCTTCCACAGTGAAAGTATTAAAAAAAGAAAAATAAGAAAAATACAGGCTCTCCTAGACTCGCCCTGGGTATGACGATAAACTACACCCGGCAGCAAGGCATCTGATCAGTAGATCGGAGGTTTTGTGGAGCGTGGAGCCACCTGTTAATTGTTGTTTTTCCTAGGTCCATCCTGACCCGGGGTAGTAGCATCTGTTAGGGCACCGGCTATGGGCAAATAGTGACCACCCCAAACAAAAATCAACATTATATTTTTATAATAAAATGAGCAACAATACATTTGTATAGTAAAATGACAATCAATGCAATAATAAAAAAAATATAAAAATACATTTTTATAGTAAAATTACCAATACATTTTATGATTTGCAAACTATATATCTAAAAAAAAAACCCCAAAAACATAACTTTACTCTGAATGTATATAAAAAAGCAGGAAAATAAGGAGTATGATAATAAAGTTTCCTTTGTCCGAACACCAACCTGTTTCGTGATAAAAATGTTCAATAAACGTTGAAATTTGATATAAAATATCTGCAGTTGAAAGCATAAAATTACGTACAAAATATTTAGATTTCGTCATTAAATAACCCATAAAGTGTCAGTGACACTTTATAAGAAAAGACGGCTTAGAAAATTTGACACTCACAAGACATATTGAAGGCAGTGAGTAACCAAACCTTACGAGCTTGTATAAATGGATGGCAATATAGGTACTGGGAGGGTTAGTAAGGGGAAAAACATTGTCCAGAACAGTGATTCTCAACCGGGATGCATATGGACCCCGGAGAAGGGTGTTCATGTAAAATTATAGGGGGTCCACACAAAAATAGCAAATTGGGAGTCTATGGTAATATTTCAGTGGTCCATAGAGCAATTTCACTTAGGGATGGTCGTTACAGCTGAGAATTGAAATTTCTACAGTATTCTACGCCATATATTTTTTTACAGTAAGGTTCACCCTTTACAAGTGCCAGGGACGACTCGAGGTAGAGGGTTATGTTTTGAGGCCATTCGCGTGTAGAAGAGTGGAAGATAACGATTAACCATAGCCTTGAACAGATTAAGATTGAAATGATCGGGGAAACATCCTGTTGCGAGTCGGTTCCACAAAATACTAAAAAATAGAAAAATAATCCTAAAGCCTACAGAAAACGAAATGAGGCCATATAAATTAGCATCCTTTTAATCTACCGGATGGTCTGATTGTAAAAGTTGAATAAAAACGGAAAGGATATATAAAAGGAGGATTATATATATATATATATATATATATATATATATATATATATATATATATATATATATATATAAAGGAAATTATGTAAAGATTATAATTTATTATATAAATTAATTTAATAATAATAATAAATGATAATATTAATTTTAAATATTAATAAAATAAAATATTAATCTAAATTAATTAATATAGTAATAGACTCAACATTGTGAAAAGGGATGATCTTTTATCAATGGCATCCATGGAGCCGAATAAAAAAAACAAAAACTCTCAGAGCAGGATCACCCACAGAAATTTCATTGAATAAATCTGCACTTTTTTTAATTCATTAATTACCGACATATTTAAAAATGATTTATTTTACTAGTGTATATAAATGTCCAATAGAATTTAGTTGTTAAATACAAATTTATTTTCATTAAGTTAGTTTTACAATAAAGCATATACCTTTACTATTTCTTTAATACAATTCCTAAACTTATCTATTAGTAAAAAATAAAACAAGCTTTTTTTTATCAAATAGTTATGGGGGTCCAATAAAAAAAAAATTAAGAATGAAAGTGGTCCCTGGGTAAGAAAAGGTTGAGAAGTACTGCGTTAGATCTACAAAGGCTTGGAAGGATTACGTCTACATCACGTTGAAACACTGGTTCCCGTACGACCACCGAAGTTAAGAAACGTCAAGCTTGATTAGTACCTGGATGGGTGACCGCTTGGAGATACCAAGTACTGTAAGCTTGGATGTGTGGGTGGATAATGGATAATAAAGAACTAAGTTCCAATTTCAGTCGAGGTTGTTATATTCGCTTACACGCAAATACAATTGGAAAAGGTGTGAACCCACGTCTTCTCTCCTCAACTATGGGTTAATTAGTAAAACTTTGTATCCCAAAAAACAATTTTATCTAAAAAAAAACAAAAACAAAATGCGTAAAAAATATTTAGATTTTGGCATTAAATAACTTACAACTTATATGCTTCTATACAAAGACAACTAACAAGGATTGGAAGTTTTGGAGAGTCATGACCTCCCCGGTCCTGAAGAGACTTGGCATATAAAAAAAAAAGAAGAGTGGTGAGCCTAGGAAAGTGTGATGTTTGAAAAGCCTACTAATGCACCTCTAACGTGATAGATTTTACAAGTACACGAAGAGGCCGGGTGCAAAACAAGAGGCTGTCAAATAAGACAAGTTGATTAACTGAAAGAAATATTTTAATTCCAAACCAAATAAATTATTTTCTGAAAGATTAATTTTTTTTTTAAATCTGCGAATCCCCACCACATTAAAAAAAATGTCCAGGAGGTAAATATTCACTTATACATTCAAACCCATCTCCCGTGACTTGTACCAAAACAAACGTGATTATCAGTTGTGTTGGGGTTAGGACTGACATTAAGGGCCCTTACGGACTTATATAGACGATAACTTTGATTGTTCATTGTGATTTTTGGTAGAAGCCCTGACTGATCGATTTGATTTCGACCTTTTGCAGATTATTTAAAGCCAAAAATATTTTTATATTGCAAAAATATTTGGAGATAATAGTAATTTACTGATACAAGTCTTACTCGAGGGGGAGAGGAGAATTCATAACTTACCTAAGGGTATTTGCACATAAGTGACTATAACGAACCTGAGTGAAATTGGAACTCAGCTCGCCGATTAACAATTCACCACCCGCACATCCAAGCTTACAGCATCTGGTAGTTCCAAGCGGTCAAACATCTAGGTACTGACCATTGTTAAACTTCTATGATCGGACGATCAACATGGTATGGCCGTAACCTAGTCGAACCTAGTATTCTCTCTGCTAGTAGGTAGGTCCCTTCGACTCTTCAACCGGGTGACTGCCACCGACCCGACTGGTTGGCTTCTCTTTGCCGACGTTGCTTAACTTCGGTGATCTGACGAGAACCTGTTTCGACGTGATATGGCCGTAAACCCGGTAGAAATGCTTAGAAGCAGGGCAGAAGACAAGAGGCTCTCAAATAAGACGCGTTGATTCACTGAAAGAAATATTTTAATTCCAAACCAAATTAATTATTTTCTGAAAGATTAATGTTTTTAAATCTGCGAATCCCCACTTTTTTTCTTTTTTTTTTTTTACTTTCTAAGTTTAGTTTAATAAGCATGTTACCATTGGTAAGGATTGAACTCGTAACTGTAGCAATAGTCGTGTTTACTTTCATTTGGAGTTTTTTTTTTTTTCAAGTACTTCGGATGTACGTTACTAAAAAAGCAAAATAAATACAAATTTAAAAAATTGTTAGTTAGTTCAACTTACGCGACTACTCCGACGATTTGGGGGCCACAGGCTGTTAACATGAATTCGGGGAATCCAGGCTGATGTGAAGTAGAAGCTGAGACAAATTAGAACTCCCGTGACTAGAAACTTCATATTGCGTTCAATTTCTTTTCCTCTTTTAAAGCAGCAGACGACAACAATAGCGCTACACGACGATCAACGCCACTAAGAAACACTGCGTCCCTGGCGATTATATGCACGTATATATATTTGCGTGGACTACTTTCTGCGTGCGACAGGAGGGCGTGTTTGTGGTCAGGCGTGTTTTTTTTTTTTTTTTTTTTTTAAACACCCACACAGCGAGAGAGGGTAAGAAAATGAACGAAGAAAGGAGTGGTGCCTGTTGCTACTGCCTGGTACCGCAACTGCGAATGGCGTTGTCTTATTTTCTTGGGAGTGAGTTAGGTGGGACTAGGGGTGGGAAATGAAGCGGAAAGGGTTTGGTCCGTAGCAGCTTCCACACCACTGAGATGGAGATATATTGCTGAGGCTATGGATGCACATTATGCACCTCAAAGGCTGAGGGTACTATCTTTTTTCTTTCTTTCTTTCTTTCTTTCTTTCTTTCTTTCTTTCTTTCTTTCTTTCTTTCACTCTCACTCTTTAAAGAAATTTATTCTCATTTCGCATTCTTCATGCAAAAGTTCATTTCTCTTTTATCTTTATCATCTTTTTTCCCTTTTTTCTCTTCATTTTACTTATTCATCCTTTCTTTTTTCACTTTCTTTTACTTTTCTCCATTTCATTTTCTTTCATTCATTCTTTCATGCTTTCTTTCTTCTATGTTTTATGACCTTTTTCTTTCTCCTTCTCATTTTTATTCTACCCTTTTATGTTCTTTCTTTCTTTCTTTCTTTCTTTTTTTTTCTTTCTTTCTTTCTTTCTTTCTTTCTTTCTTTCTTTCTTTCTTTCTTTCTTTCTTTCTTCGTTTTCATCCCTTTTTCTTTTCTCCTCCTCATTTTAATTCTATCTCTTCATGTTCTTTCTTTCTTTCTTTCTTTCTTTCTTTCTTTCTTTTTCTTTCTTTTTTCTTTTTTTTTTTTTTTCTTTCTTCTTTCTTTTTTTTTTTTTCATTCGTTTTTTATTCTTTTTTTCTCATGGTTTTATTCTTTCCCTTCATTTTCTTTCTTTTTTTTCATTTCTTTTTTCTTTTTTTCTTTCTTTCTTTTCTTTCTTTCTTCTTTCTTTCCTTTCTTTCATTTTTTTTTTTTCTTTCTTCATGTTTTTCTTTCTTTCTTTTTTTTTCTTTCTTTCTTTTTTCTTTCTTTCTAATTCGTTTTTTTCTTTTTTTTTTCGAGTTTTTTTCTTCTTTTTTTCTTTCTTTTTTTCTTTCTTTCTTTCTTTCTTTCTTCTTTTTTTCATTCTTTCTTTCTTTCTTTCTTTTCTTTCTTTTCCCTTTCATTTTTTTTTTTTTATTTCTTTTTCTTCTCCTTTCTTTTCTTTCTTTTTTTTTTCTTTCTTTCTTTTTTTTGTTTTTTTTCTTTCTTTTACATTTCTTTTTTTTCTAATTCGTTTTTTTGTTCTTTTTTTTTTTTTCGAGTTTTTGTTTAACCCTTTATTTTCTTTTCTTTCTTTCTTTCTTTTTTCCTTCTTTCTTTCTTTTCACTTCGTTTTTTATTCTTTTTCTTCATGTTCTTTCTTTTCTTTCATTCTTTCTAATTCGTTTTTTTACATTTCTTTTTTTTTTTCGTTTTTTTTCAAATCTCCCTTTTTTTCTTTGTTTGTTTGTTTGTTTGTTTGTTTCTTTCTTTCTTTCTAACACCACACATTTTTACAAACCAATATCTATATTCCAAGTTAAAATATAATTACAGTATGAAAAATAAAAACGTACCAACATCTTTTTCTTTTTTTAAAAAAAGTAAAGTCTTTTTTTTTCATTGTTTTTTAAATTATGTCACTAACGCATCCTCCATAAATTTTTTTTAAATGTTTTTCTTATCCTTCTTTTCTATCTTAAGAGTCTGTTAAATTTTAAAATTTTTTTTTTTAAATAAACACATTTTTAGTTTTGTTTATAAATTTTAATCGATACTTTGCTCAGGATCCTACATTCTCCAGTTCCACAAAACTAACCATTTGTCTCTATCTACGCTGACGATGACTTAGGAAAGTCGAAAGCTGAAACGATATTTCTTCCGAAATGAATTTGGATAATTTCTGACGGAATATCCTTCTTATCTTTTTTTAGAAATGGTAATGAATAATATGGAAAAAGGCGATCAAGAAAATCAATTGACAATCATTCTTTATTCTGTTTTTCTTTTGACATATTTGCCTTAAAGAAAATTTGCTGGCTAAATAATTAAATTTATTAATTTTATATAATATATATATATATATATATATATATATATATATATATATAACATATGTGTGTGTTATGTGTTTTCGTGTGTCCAGGTTTTGATAAAAATTGCAAAAAAAGGTTTGTTTATTTCCTTTTCTTCGATTCTGAAAAGATTATCTTATGTTTTGGAGCTAAAAAATAAAATGAACATAAATTATAAAATGGCGCCTGATGAAAGTTTTTTAACTTGTTTTAATTGCACACAAAGTTTATTCCAATATATATATATATATATATATATATATATATATATACAAAATATATATTTAAATAATTTATATATTTATGGGATTTTTGCTCAATATCATCAGATTTATCTTTAAATGTAAAATTTAAGTGAACATTGAAAATCAAAATTATAGTTGATCATGAATTGCAAATCGACAAAAATTATTTTTGAATTTTTCTTTTGCATGAAAAAATCTGGCATCTAAGAAATTGTTGAAATATATTTTTTTTTTTTATTTCAATTATATATATATATATATATATATATATATATATATATATATATATATATATTATATATTTATTGTATTTATTATTTTAATAAAATTCTATTTTAGGCATGTCTTATTGAATAAATTAAATTTTATAAATATTTTAATATTTTAAATAAAATCCGTTCATAATTTATAATAAAATTCTGTTTTATTGATGTTAAAGGATGATAGATATATTTAATTTGCTGATTAAAATTTTTTTTTTTTCATTTCCCAATAGAAAAAAAAAACAGATTTTCAAATTTATATTAAAATTTTTTTTGCACTGAACAGAATCAAAAAATAATCAGTAATGTTTTGAAATGCCTGTAAAAAAAATTTTTTTTTTTTGTTTATTTCAAACGTGATTATGACATTATAAAAATTTTAAGAAAAAAAATCATAATGGATAATTTTTTTTAAATTTCTAATGAAACATTTTCCACATTGTCAACCGTTTTGCATTTTAAATATAATGAAAAAAATACTTTAATGGATAATGGACGCACATCTTTGTACAAAAACTTATACTAATGAACAACAATATTTTATATAAATTTAAAATGAAGATGATCTTGGAAGAAGATCAAAAATTTTTATATATATATATATATATATATATATATATATATATATATATATATATATATATATATAAATACAATAAATCCGTTGGTATATAATCGAAAACCGGAAAAATATAAAATATTAAAATTGATCCAAAAAAAAATTCAATGTATTTGCTTATACAATTTTTCTATAAAAAGTAAATAATAAAAAATCCTTAAATTACCTCATAAAATGGGTTTAGACGTAAAACTTTTTTTAAAATATATTTTATTTATTTTTAATTTTTTAAAAACACACACACACACACACACACACACAAAATATATATATATATATATATATATATATATATATATATAATATTTTTTAAATTTTTTTTGCATCATATGGGTATAATAAATTATTTTCCACAAAAAATTTTCATATTTAATGAAAAAGGTTTATAATGTATTTTAAAGTTAATGGTTTTGCCTGAAAAATGTCGGATGTCTAGCCACACTGATGAGCTAAAAACATATAAACAACTGTCTGTGGATATATATATATATATATATATATATGTGTATATATAAATTTATAATATTTCATAGTTCAATTTATATTACAATGATCATTCATCATAAAAAAAAAGATTAGTAAAAATAATGATATAAAATGGCAAAATTTTTTGCAAAAAAAATTTTAAAATCTAAATTTCAAAGGAAAATCAATCGATGAATGCTATGATCCTTTTTTTTTAAAATTATAAATATATATATATATATATATTTATTTTATTTTAAATCAAAGAAAACAAGACAAATATATTTCAAAATGTATTAAAAAAGAAGAAAAAATATATGACTTTTAAATAATATAAAGTAAATAGTGACGTTTATATATAAATAATTAAATGTCTATATGGACTCCATTCGTTGAAAAAATATTTCCTCATTTTATTTTCTGCCAATGACTGAAAGATAAAAAAAATATTAAAATGCGTTATTAATATATATTATATATTATATAAAACTATTTATATCATTAAATTAGAACTTTAAATCTTTAGAAAAATTAAATTTTAAATATAAAATCAGTTGCCATCTCTTCTTATTTTTCGTAATGACTTTTTAAAATTGTTTTAATATTTCTGATTTATCTATATATCTTTCTTTCTAGTCTTGTTCTTTCTCTTTAATTAAATATATATATATATATAAATATATATATATATATTGGATATATAGGTAAAAGAAATTTTTTGAATAAATAGAAATTGTCAACAAAATTGTATCTGAGGATTCACATCATTATAAATTGAAACACAACTTCAGTTGTTTTTATTTTTATATTTTATTTAATGAACCATATATATATATATATATATATATATATATATATATATATATATTGAAATCAGATCTTTTATTCTTAAAATTTTCATATTAAAACGCAATCATTTATTCAATCAATTTGATTTGAAATTAAAATATTTCTTTTCAGTGAATCAACGCGTCTTATTTTTTAAATTCTTGCCTTCTGCCCTGCTTCTTTAATTTCTACCGGGTTTAAATTTTACAAACGTCGAAACAAATATTTTCTCATCCGATCACCGAATTAAAAACGTCGGCAAAGAGAAGAATTCAAATAAACCAATCCAAAATTAATTTTTTTATTTTAACAGAGAATACTAGGTTCACTAGGTTACAAATACCATGTTGATAACCGATCATAGAAGATGGTCCGGAATAAATAACTTGTAAAAAAGAAAAAGACGTGACTCACGTGACATTTGAAAAAGATATTGATCTACATCATATCAATTTATTTTTTTCCGATTTTGAACTCATTAATGATTCGATTTTGAAGATCCTAATATATATATATATAAAATTATTATATAATCAAATCATATTCAATTTTTTCTATAAAAATTTCTGACATTCAGGTATTAAATGTTATTTAATTATTTTATTATAAACAGAAAAATATTATGATAAATATTGTATCTATAAAAAAGAACGTTAAACATAAAAATTTCTTTTAAATAATTGTCGGACTTTATATATTTTTATATATATATATATATATATATATATATATATATATATATATGTAACAGCAAAATTGTCTAAATCGTGTAACAACATAATTGTCCATCCCACAAAATGTTTAATATCTAAAAAGCCACTAAACTGAGTTTCTTTTTTCCAGGTTTTCAGATAATCCATTTAGCCATCTTGGCACTATTTGTCGTATGAATCACTGAAAAATAATTTGAGTTATTCAGCTAGAAAGAGAACAGGTTAAAATCGTTTTGTGTCAGCCCCACTGTCTTCCAAAATGACTAATGGTGAGAGGAAAAAGATCATTCAGGCCTTCAGTAAGTGTACCAGCATTCATACTCTGGCTTGAATCTTCAAAGTCCATTCAAGAACCATCAAGAAGAATGATGAATAAGTTTTAAAAAAAGAGCAACGGTAGAGAGGAAAACTGTATCAGGAGGTCACAATAGGAATAGGGATCATAATTTCAACTTAGAGTTAAAGAGAACAATTATAAAAGATCCAATTCAATCCATAAGACGTTTGGAACGTGAGAGATGAGTTTCACTTATGACAGTCCAAAGAGCAGTGAAAAAAACTTGAATGTTAAATCGTACGTAAAACCTGTGATACAACTTATTACACCAGGACGGAAAGTTAGAAGCTTAGAGAGGGAAAGATCATCTTGAATAAGTTGGAAAATGATCCTGGAATAATATATATATATATATATATATATATATATATATATATATATATATACTTTATTTTTTTCAATCCTTCATGAGTTTCCGATTCTTGTCTATGATTAATTTAAGATAAACATGTCACTTTAGTTTTTGATCGATTTCATCACGGTTATTCGGTTAAGCTTTTGGAGAGTAATTATACATTCTTATTGCTCAAAGTAGAGTCCAATGGTGTTATAAAAACCTCGGAGAATTCCAGTAAGATATCTTTAATCATTTCTAAGATACAACGGTTCAGAGCTTAATTTAACAATTGGACAATTTTGCTGTTACACCCACATATATATATATATATATATATATATATATATATATATATATATATATATATAT